TCACAGCAACGTGTAAGCCACCACAGTATGACAAACTGACAGATGACTGGAGGTGTTCATTGCAAATACTTTTTAATAACATAAATGGTGGCTATACACATGGACCTCACCAGATGGAATACACAGGAATCACATCTACTACATCTGTGGAAAGAGGCAATGGAGGAGCTCTGTAAAAAATCCAAACCAAACCCACTGCCATCGAGTTGATTCCAACTCATAGCAACCCCCATTGGGTTTCCAAGGTGATAGATCTTTACAGAAGTAGATTGTGTGATATTCCTTCTGCGGAGTGGCTGGTGGGTTCGAACCACCAAACTTCTGGTTAGCAGGCAAAATGCCTTAGGCACTACACCACTAGAGCTCCTTGGAGAAGTTCAATATCTTCTGTCAAAATATGACCAGGAGCTGGCTATGAAACAGGCCATCAGTTGTTCAAATGCAGGTTTAAGTTGAAGCTTAAGAAAATTAAAACAAGTTCACGAGAGCCAAAATAATAACTTTGAACAAATCCCACTTGAATTTAGAGACCATCTGAAGAATAGATTTGACCCATTGAACACCAGTGGCCGAAGACCAGACAAGTTACAGGACATGATATTAAGAGCATCATACATGAAAAAGCAAAAAGTCATTAAAAAGATGAGAAAGGAAGAAAAGACCAAAATACATGTCAGAAGAGACTCTGAAACTTACTCTTGAACAGAGAATAGCTAAAGTGAATGGAAGAAATGATGAAATAAAAGAGTTGAACAAAAGATGTCAGAGGGCAGCTTGAGAAGACAAAGTAAAGTATCATAATGAAATGTGCAGAGACTTAGAGTTAGAAAACCAAAAGGGAGGAACACACTTGGCATTTCTAAAGCTGAAAGAACTGAAGAAAAAGTTGAAGCCTCAAGTTGCAGTATTGAAGGATTCTATGGGCAAAATATTGAATGATGCAGGATGTATCAAAAGAGATGGAAGAAGTACAACAGAGATGGAAGAAATACACAGAGTCACTGTACCAAAAATAATTGGTTGGTGTTTGGCTGTTTCAGGAGGTAGCATATGATCAAGAACCATTGATATTGAAACTGAACTGAAGGAATTGGCAAAAAACAAGGTTGCAGGATTGACAGAATACTCATTGAGATGTTTCAGCAAACACTTGAGGCACTTATTTATACCGAGAAATTTGGAAGACACCTTCCTGGCCAGTTTACTGGAAGAGATTCATATTTGTGCCCATTGCAGAGATTGATAATCCAACAGAATGTGGAAATTATCAAACAATGTCATTAATATTACAAGTTAAACTTTGTTAAAGATAACTCAAAAATGGTTGCTGCTGTATATTGACAGGGAACTTCCAGAAAAGCGAGCTGGATTCAGAAGAGGACATGGAACAAGAGATATCATTGATGTCAGATGGATCTTGGCTGAAAGCAAAGAATACCAGAAAGATGTTTACCTATGTTCTGTTGATTCTGCAAAAGCATTCAATTGTGTGGATCATAACAAATTACGGATAACATTGCAAAGAATGGGAATTCCAGAACACTTGATTGTACTCATGAGGAAGCTATACATAGACCAGGAGGCTGTCGTTCAAACAGAGCAAGGGGACACTTGTTGTTGTTGTTATGTGCCGTCGACTCAGCCCCGACTCATAGTGAGCCCCTCCTTGGGTTTCCGAGGCAGTATCACTACGGAAGTAGGATTGCCCAATCTTCCTTCCGAGGAGTGGCTGGTGGGTTTGAACTGCCAGCCTTCTGGTTAGCAGTCAAGTGCTTTAGCCACTGTGCTACCAGGCATAGTTTAAAATTCAGGAAGGGTGTACATCAGAGTTGTAGTCTTTCACCATACTTACTCAGTGTGTGTACTGAGCAAATAATCCAAGAAGCTGGACTGTATGAGGGAGAACACAGCATCAAGATTGGAGACTCATTAACAACCTGTAGATACGCAGATGACACAGCAGGGCTTGCTGAAAATGAGGAAGACATAAAGTACTTATTAGTAAAGATCAAAGATTATAGTCTGCAGTATGGATTACACCTCAACATAAAACAAAAATCCTCACAACTAGACCATTAGCATCATCACAGTAAGTGGAAGAAAGATTGAAATTGTCAGGGATTTCCTTTTACTTGGACCCACAATCAGCACCTGTGGAAGCAGCAGTCAAGAAGTCAAACATTGTATTGCACTGGGTAAATCTGCTGCAAAAGGAGCAAAGATATAGCACTTTGAAGACTGACGTGTGCCTAGCTCTGGTATAGTAGTGGATAAGGCATTTGGCTGTGCAAGAAGCACATGGGGGTGGCATCCTCACCTCCAAACTCAAGAGGGGGAGGTGGAATCACCATCAACAGCCCAAGACTTATTCCTGTGAGGCCAGACATACCACCACCCTCTAACCTTTTTACTGACTGACATCAGCCATCCCATCCAAGGCACTCACTACTTCTCTGCTGGGTTCGATAATTCATTACAGTGACCACACAGAACTCACAGACAGTACTCACAATTATGGGGTTAGGGAAGTAATTGGTTACAGTTGAGGTTCAGGAATCCTCTCAGGATACAGTTCTTTGATCACAACAGTCTCCCCTCTGTTATGTCCTCAGGCACGCCTCTCTGGCCCTTGGCCTCTTGGCCTGGCCTCTGCCCTGCTAAGGCAAGTGTTACAAAGCTCTTTTAGCTCTGCAGATAGGTACATCTAGGTGCACCCCACTCCACTGTGAAGTCTTCTCACTCGGTGGGCCAGCCAGCCCGCCACTCTTACCTCTTGCTTCTTGGTTTCTCAGCCAGGGTGTCTCTGCCAAGGAGGTCTGGCACAGGATCTTGGGTCCACAGGGGGGCTCCACTTCACCTCCAGCTCTTCTCTCTTGATGGCAGTGAACCCCCCCCCCTTTCTTCTAGTAGGGCTCATTTTAAGCCCAGCAATATGGCAAAACCAGCCAGTCCTTGAGTTAGTTCTTTACACGTTGTTTGCATAGTCCCACCCAGTAATCTGGGCACCTAACAACAACAACGCAGTAATCTGGTGGTAGTTACAAAGACCATGGATAGAAAAATCATGCCAAGTAATTCACTCCACCACAGGCTGCTATCCAGAAGGTCAGGGGTTCAAACCCATCAGCCACTTCGCAGAAGGAAGATGGAGCAATCTACTTCCATAAAGATTTACTGCCTGGAAAACCCAGTGGGGGTCGTTATGAGTCAGAATCAACTTGGTGGCAGTCAGTTAGTCGAGTTAACACAAGTCTTGGTATTTTCAGTAGTCTCATGCATGTGAAAGCTGGACAATGAATAAGGAAGCCCAAAGAAGAGTTGATGCCTTTGAATTGTGGTGTTTGGCAAGGAGTAATGAAAATACCATGGACTGCCAAAAGAGTGAAATCTGTCCTGGAAGAGTTGCAGCCAGAATGCTTCTTAGAAGTGAGAATGGCCTGATTTTGTCTTACCTACTTTGGTGATGTTGCCTTGGAAAAGGATATCACACTTGTTATAGTGGAGGGTCAGTGAAAAAGGGGAAGACAGTCAACCAGATAGATTGACACAGTGGCTGCAATGATGAGCTCAAGCGTAGCAAGGATTGTGAGGATGGTGCAGGACAGGCACTGTTTCGTTCTGTTGTGCATGGGGTCGCTATGAGTTTGGAGCCTCCTCCATGGCACCTAAGAGTATGATGTATGTCATCAGAAGCAACACTGGTCTTGTGTGCTCAATTTTTTGTTTTTTATTTTAATGATGAGAAATGTTTGAATTGATCAGTAAAGAGGCTTTTTATGGCATTAGATGAATATTAGCTCTGGGTTGGGTTTCACCAAAATTCTCCAGCTCTTAATGGCTTAGAAGTAGTTCTGAGTGTTGCTCATTCTTAATATCCATGTACATCCCTTTTTTTCTGTTTAAGGTACAGAGAAGGAAATAGAATAGCAATAAATTGTTAATCAATTATATGATTTATAAATGGTCAGACTATGCCCTTTTTAAAATGTATGGCATATATTCATAAGTAATGCAGTATTGGTGTTTTTTGGGATTTGTGTTTAAATTCAAATATTTTAAATTGTTTAGTTTCTTATGTTTTATATAATTTGAAAGATTACTCTCTTTGATCTTTCTAATTGTTTTTAAATTAGTGAATGTTTATGCTTCAGAATTTTATTTCATTGAGTTGGTAAATAAAATAATGAAGAATCAGTGACCTTATTTAAAACATGAATCTTTTTTCTTTTTTTTAAATGAATTCCTTTGTACTAACCATTCGGATTAACATTTTTAATATGAGCTGCTTTTTTTTTTTTTTTAAGGAACAAATTAAAGAAATTTCAAATTCTTAGATGAGCATCACATAATTATTGCTTTATAATAGCTTTTTTTTTTTTGCCTGATCTTACACATGTTTCTCCGAATGACCTTTAGAAGTATTTTAAATTCTCATGCAAAATCCAGTTGATACTTGGGATTCAGAAGGCTTTAAATATTGATAAAAACCAAAACTGCCATCAGTTTGGGTTTCAGACTCATAAATCTTTACAGAAGTAAATTGCCCAGTCTTCCTTCCGTGGAGTGGCTGGTGGGTTTGAACCGCCCACCTTCTGGTTAACAGTCAAATGCCCTAGGCACTACACCAACAGAGCTCTTTTAAATATTGGTAAGAGTTTCACTATTAAGTTCCACCTAGGAACATGGTATGTTTCTTTCCATTATTGTTATTTTTTCCCCTCTTCTATTTTGAATATGATCTTTTTTCATTACTTTCCAAGTGATATTATAGGTTATCTAATACTCTGGGTTTTCATATACTGGCCAGATTGTTAAACTCTTTGTTCCAGAAGTTTGTTACTCTCTTAGTGAATACATTAGAAAGACATTTGTAGAGCTGGGTAATTTGCCCTCTAATTTTATAAAACTTGGTTGGGGGCTGGTTGTCATTATTGAGAAGAACCTTACATTGCTTGGGTTTTTGCCTTTTTAAATAATCATTTCCTTTTTTTTTTTTAAAGCTCTTTTCCCTTATGGATATGAAACCTCCTATCTCTCGAGCCAAGATGATTCTCATCACTAAAGCTGCTATTAAAGCAATTAAGGTAAGAGTAAAATAAACATATTCAGTTTGAGAAATATTTTTGAAATTTTGAAAGTTTTTATTAAGCATGAGAGAATTCGTTTTGTGCATTAGTTCAGTGCTGAATCAGAGAGCCCTGAACGTACGTGCCTGACAATACGTACCTGACAATACTGTACATTTGCATCATCATCTTCAGTTTCAAAAGAATTTTTTCTTTAATCTTTGTAATAAACCAGTTGGTTATTAGCCTCATTTTTATAAAAGAAACTTGAACTCACTGAAGTTAAAGATCACACTTTAATAAGTTACTCACTTTAGAAACTGCATTTTTTTGTTTCAAGTGCTTTGTTCCTATCCCTCATACTGTGTTGCCTGTAATAGTAAGCTGCTTTATGAATGGTTAATGATTAAAAATCTAAGCAAAAGACCACATTTGCTTAGGTTTTTTTTTTTTTTTTTTTTTTTGGCTGTTTTATTAATTCATTTCTGAATTCTAATATAAAAATTTTTTCTATTGAATTATAATGTTTATTTCTCATGATTCATTTAATATTATCTTCATTTATTTAAATTAGGTAAATGTGTTTAAGTATTTACTAATTAAGGGAGATGTAGAAATATTTAACTGGACAGTAATTTTCTTTTAATTCTTTTCAGCTTTATAAGCATGTAGTTCAAATAGTAGAAAAGTTCATCAAAAAGGTAACTATCTGTTTTATTACTACCTCATTTAATTTATGATTGGCATTTATAATTTACTTTGTAAATTGTAATTTGGAGACAAGTATTCAGTAGAGGTTCTGTTAATCACTAGAGGGGCTTTGAAAATAGAACAAATTACATTTGTTGGAATACTGTTGATTGAGCACTAGAGGACTGAAGATGGAGATTTATGTATTTTTTTTATGTTGTCCTCTTGGCACAGTGCTGTATAGTTTGTTTTGGAAAATGTTCAAAAAGTATTATGAGTGCAATAATTAAGTGCTCAGCTGCTAACTGGAAGGAAGGTGTGTGCTTTGAATCCACTAGCCACTCCACTGGAGAAAGATGTGGCAGTCTGTCTGGTTCTGTAGATTACAGCCTTGGAAAACCTATGAGGGAATTCTACTCTGTCTCTGGCTATAGGGTTGCTATGATTTGGAGTCAGATTAGCGGCACACAATAACAATAAACGTTTGTGGAAATGTTCCTAACATGGTCTTTGAGTACTGGCTTAGGGATAGATATTAATGCTCCAACAGGCAGAAAAAAACCCTAGAGGTTTTTATGATAGCAAATCAAAGTAAATTGGGGAAGAAAAAAAAAAAAAAAGAAAAGAATGACCTATATGCCACAACCTTCAAGCTATGAATTGGATTTACTTTTTATGTACCTGAACATTTATAAAAGTGAAAATTGGGAAATACTAAGATAAGCTACTTTTTCCATAAACCTGCAAAGTATTTCATTGCATGATTATTGGCATGATTCATTTAGCAAGTTGGATATTTAGATAATTCTAATTTTTTAGTTATTAAAAGTCCTTCATTAGCTAACCCTAGCAAAACAATTGTATACATCTTAATTGTTTTTGTGGGATAAATTCCCAGATGTAGAATTGTTGGATCAAAGGTTTTTTTCTATTTGTCTGTTTTCTAAATTTTATGGATTTGGTTATTGTTTTGAGAATATACACAAAAAATAGACCAACAGGTTCTATATGTACAATTTAGTGACATTCTTTGAATTGTGCAACCATTCTCACCCTCCTTTTCTGAGTTATAAGGAACTCTGGTGGCACACTGATTAAGTGGTTGGCTGCTAACCTCAGGGTCAATGGTTCAAACCCATCAGCTGCTCCATGGGAGAAAGATGAGACAGTGTTTCCATGATGATTTATGATTTATAGCCTTGGAAACCCTGTGGGGGAGTTCTGCTCTGTGCTGTAGGGCTGCTATGAGCCAGAATCGACTGGATGTCAGTGGGTTTTTTTTCCCCCTGAGTTGTAGATCAAAGGTTTTAAATAAGGCAGTACTTTAATTGCTAAATTGCCCTCATATATATGAGGTTGTATCTGTTTCCACTACCAGTAGACAGGTTCATAGGTGCCTATGTCTCTTCTTCTTTTATTTTTGGCTTTTCTTTTTGTCTTGTCACCTTGAGAAGGCAAAAATAACCTTCTTAAAATTTTTATTTATCTGGTACTGTGCTTCTTTACTAGGATTAACAATGACACATTATTAAAAAAAATTCTTTTGATAATTTTAAAAGATAAAATGTGTTTTTTTGAGCAGATTGAATTGGAGTAGAGACTGTTATAGTAAGTAGATTTATAAAGTAATGTTGACTCTCAGGCTTGTAAAATATTGGAGGTCCAAGACATTAAGAGGAGCTCTGGTAGTACACTGGTTAAAGTATTCAGCTGTTAACCAAAACGTTGGCAGTTTGAACCCACTTACTGCTCTGCAGGAGAAAGATGAGGCAGTCTGCTTCTGTAACAATTTACAGTCTTGGAAACCCTATGGGACAGTTTTACTCTGTCTTACAGGGTCACTATGAGTTGGAATTCACTCTCACAGTGCTTTGAAGGCATAAAGAGAATAATAATAGTTCTGTATAGACGTGTGGGAAATTCAATCAGTTTGCTGTTAGAGAGCTGGAACATTTGAGTAGTTTCTAAACAGAAACAATCATTGGAGATACACATAGATGTCAATTGCCAATCACTGGAGTTAAATATATATATATATATATGTTTCAAAAATGTTAGATAAATATGTGTCAGATAGTAATTTTGCTTTTCTTGAATTGATTGTACATCATTGTCTTTGCAGTGTAAACCAGAATACAAGGTTCCAGGATTGTACGTAATCGACTCAATTGTGAGACAGTCTCGTCATCAGTTTGGAACTGATAAAGATGTTTTTGGGCCAAGATTCTCTAAAAACATAACTGCCACATTCCAATATTTATATCTTTGTCCATCTGAAGATAAGGTAGAATTAACGATTTTTAAATTAAAACTTGAAATCATGTTGGGCTTGTTTAAGGGGAGATAAAGATTTATTTGCCATTTTTGTTTTGTTTTATTTTTAAATTGAGGCTATAGTGAAACTACTGGGTTTCAAAGTTACTTGGATTAGGTCTTTTTCCTCCTCCCCTTTCTGAGTGGTTGTAGTATTACTTTGAAATGCAGATAAGTTCATTGGTTTTTGTGTGTATTTACAGTTGTTGTTTTGTTGTTGTTTTTTAATTGTGATTTGGGTGAAAGTTTACAGCGCAAATTCATTTTGTATACAGCAGTTCATACCCACTTTGTTTCATGACATTGATTGCAAACCCTACAATGTGACAGCTCTCTTCCTACTTTCTGTGGTTACCTTTTCCCTTTGTCCTTCTTTTCTATGTTTTCCTGCCCTCTAAGCTATCTCCCATGGTTAATTATTCTAAGTAGTGTACCTGTCTGGTGTAAATGTTCACCTTATATGCCTATTGTTTGGTTTATCTATTTTCTTACGAAGTACATCAGGAATGTTGTAATTTTGAAATATGAAAGATCACTATCTTGCCTTAAAGAAGCATTATTGGAAAGACTTACTTATAGTTGAGTGATACAGAAACTGTAGTAAAGGCAGTGCTCATCTCAGGTTGTTACCTGTTCCAGAAGAGAAGGACCCATGATTAATGGCTTTTCCGGGCATACAAAGGTGCTGGAGTACAAATGGTATTTGTTAGCAATCAGACTATAGTATTTAATTTCTCATTAAATAGTAGTTGTCATATGAAAATGTAGAAAGACATTAAAGACATAATAACTTCACTCTGATACATGGGAAGATACACAGATGCAGGTAAACATACTCAGTATGATAAAATATGACATTGTTTACAATCAATGGCATAGATATATATATATATATATTTTTTTTTTTTTGAGTGAAAGCTTGCAGAGCAAACCTACCCCCTGAAGTGTCTCCCTGTGCATACACAGTCCTTCTGTTCTCTCATGATTGATCTCACCAAGGAGTGTATTTACCTAATGTAAATGTTCAGCTCCTATGTCTGTCTTTTGTTTGGCTGGAAGCCACTTGAGTGGGTTCAATTCCAGACCTGAAGGGGAGTTAGGGGTCATAGTCTCAGTGGTTCCATCAGGCTCTATCAGACCAGCAAACCTGATTCCCTTTTTTTTGGTCAAATGATTTTGACTTGTTCCACATTGTTCTCCCACTCTGTCCAGGATCTCCTACATAGATACCCCTCTGAGTAGTTGACCGTGGTAGCCGGGCACCATCTAGTTCTTCTGGTCTCATAGTCGTATAGGCTGAGGGTCACATAGTGTACCAGTTGCTTGGAATAATTGTTCCCATGCATCTTTGGTTTTCTTCATTCTTCTTTGGTCTGGACGAGGAGAGACCCATCATTGCATCTAGATGGCCGCTTGCAAGCTTTTAAGATCCCAGTTGCTACTCACCGAAGTAGGATGTGGAACAGTGTTTTTGTGTAGTATGTTATGCCAGTTGAGCTTGATGTCCCTTGCAACTATGGTCCCAAGCCTACAGGTCCAGCTATTTGCCTCCCTCTGGGTAGCTGGCTGTGGCCAAGAAGTGACAACAACCTTGCCCCTTGTCAGCTCTACTATATAGCTGGGAATTCTTACAGAACATACAAATACACTTGTAGAAATATTGTCTGTACATGGTCTTGGGCATGCTCCTTCCCTGTATAGACATACCTTATAGTTCAGCCTGTCCACCCATCTATCCACCCATAGATCAGTGTTTCCCTTCACTGATGACACAATACTGTATGTGCAGAAGGGTTCATCTTTGTTGTCTGCACCTCCTGTGCACACTGTGTATCTTCTTCTTCCTCAATGCCACTGTATTGATCACTCACATTTGGTATATTGCCCTTCTCTTCACCCAAATCTATACTTGTCTCTACCTATCTAACAGATGTTCCCTCCCCTCCCTTCCCACCCCTGGTAACGAACAAAGAAAATTTCCTTTCCTTGACTTTTTACAGTAATGGACTAATACAGTATTTGTCCTTCTGTGATTGACTTATTTCACTCAGCATAATGTCTTCCAAGTTCATCCATGTTACGCAATGTTTTGCCAATTCTACATTATTCTTTAGGGTTGCATAGTATTCCATTATGTGTATGTACCATAATTTGGTTATCCATTCTTCTGTTGATGGGCACCTAGGTTCTTTCCATTTTTTTATTATTGTAAATTTTGCTGCACTGAACATGGGTGTGCATATATCTGTACTTGTCCTGGCTCTCACTTCTTTAGAATATATACCTAGTAATGGAATGGCTTCATCAAATGGTATATAATTTTGAGTGTTATAGATTGTTTATTTTCTTGTGGTAAAATGCACAAGAGGAAAGGTAATTCCTTGAGTAGGAGATAAGAGTTATGATAATGAATAGCACATCTTCTCTTGATGTGTCCTCCTCCATATTGTCCATGAAACAATGTACCTACCTAAAGCCAGGTTTGTTTGTTTTTTTAAAAAAATAGTAACTATTTGTTAGCAATATTTTCAAATTCTCTTTCACTTCATTTACTAGGATAGCTGCTTTTTGTCAGTGCTGAAGTTTCTTTTTATAACCATGAATAAAGTATAATGAAAAATGTAACACAGTTTTGATAATCTGCTTCTACTAATTCTGTTAGGTCCATATTCCTCTTTTTCTTACTCTAGATTATACCACTCAAGAAAGGCTGATTAGAGTGGTTTAACGAGGTTGTAATTGTGATGATGGATTGTTTGTTTGTTTGTTTAGGAAACGATTTTGTAACAATGGAAATGTTAGCCTAGGGAGTTTTCTTTTTTCATAAGAGATATCATAAATTATTTATACTAATATATTTATGTTTTCTCATGTTACAGAGTAAAATAGTTCGTGTACTGAACCTTTGGCAAAAAAATGGAGTGTTTAAAATTGAAATTATTCAGCCTCTTTTGGACATGGCAGCAGGAACCAGTAATGCCGCCCCAGTAGCAGAAAGTGTTACTAATAATGAAGGTATTATCAAGTGTGTCCGTGAGCCTAGATAATGGTACAACTTTTTTGCATGAAAAATTTTCATATTGGTGGAATTTTTCCATGAAAAGGAAATAGGTTTGCATCTTGGAAGCTGTGATTTTTTCTTTCCATCATTCCTGAAAATACACTTTTCTGAACTTGTTATAGTATGAATTTCTACTCTACCACATGTGTACTATGTGATATGATTGTATAAATTCTATAGTACCATCGGCTGTATATTATATTCTAAACTGAATTGAATTTTATTTTAGTGAAGAAACTTAATGAAGTTTGAGGAGAAATTTATAGATTAACGTTTTCTTAGACCTTAATGTCTCCCCAACTTTTTTTTTCTAGGTTCACCTCCACCTCAAGTAAAAGTTTCTACTGAACCCCCACAAGTCACTACAAACTCCGTATCAGCTGTACCACAGTTGCCTAGTTCTGATGCTTTTGCTGCTGTGGCCCAACTATTTCAGACCACTCAAGGACAACAGGTGAAATACTTACCCAAAGATTAAGTTGTTTTCAGGGTTAAGTACTGTTGTCAGTTCATGTTTTCCATTTCTAATTAATGGCATATTAAAGGGAGGAAATACGTCTACCTCTCAACTATGCCTTTGCTATGCAGGAGATAATGGTAAAGGGATAGTAGGAAAATGTGAAGGGAAAACTCAAGGGGACAACACACTTAGGAACAGCAAAACCTCTTTGAAGAGGTCAAACTTCCGGTAAGATGGAGGACTACGCAGACAAGCAACCCAGACCTTCTTCAACAAAGAACAGAAAAGCCAATTGACAAAGATAGAGAAGATATGCTGGAGCCCTGAGCTTTGAAAGGAACTATACAGAAGTGGATTAGGCACCTAGTGGAAAAACCTGAATGAAAACAGTGAGTACAGAGACAATCAGAGCTGCGGACTGTCAGCTACTCTGATGGCACCAACAGCCTGAATATTTCCAAGTGGTGTTGGGACCTGAGAAGTGAGCTAAAGATCAGCCCTGGTCACCAGGGGCTGCAGGGACGACTGCGCTGGTGGCCTATGACTGGGGAGGGAAACAGCAAAGAGGGAGACAACCTGAGCTGTTGACTTTTTGCTGTCCAGAAGGCACAGCCATCTTGATTGTTTACAAACGGCAGCCATTTTGGATATTTGAAATGATCTAGGGCACAGCCAATTTGAATGCTTGTAAGTGGTAGGCATTTTGGATATTTAAAGTGATCTAGAGTACAGCCATTTGAATGTATACAAGTGGCAACCATTTTACATTTTAAAGTGATAGCATCGTCATTTGGATTCCAGGGACCTAAGAATAGGCTCTGTTTGCCGAGGTGGGCAGGGACATACAAAAGGCTGACAACAGGAAACGAGACAGGTGGTGAGTGTATAAGTGCTGTCAACTAGTGAATAGAGAAGCACAGCACAGTACCCTGCTTGTATAGATAACATAAAAACAAAACAAAATGAAAATCGTGGGCAAGTCACTCCAAGATACAATCACCAATTAAATATAAACACAAAAATGTCGCAGTGCCTCAGAGACAACAGAGCATCACAGTCCATATAAAGAAGCAAGATAAAGCAGAAAAAACAAGGGACTAGGATATAGACCCAAAACACATCCCTGAGGAAGAGGCAGCATTGGATCTCTCTGATAAGGAATTCAAAAGAATTATATTTCGGTATCTTCAAAGGAGTGAGAGACAGAAAACACAGACAAAACTCCAGAAGAATTTTGGAAGACAATACAAAAACAAAATGACAAAATAAATGAAATATTTGAAAGGACTCAAAATTTGCAGATAGAAATCCAGAAGATTAATACTAAATTGTCAGCAATAGATAACACATTGAAAGGGCAAAAGAGTAGAATTGATGCAGTGGAAGATGGAATTATTGAGATTGAAGACAAATACCTGAATACTTCTAAGACTAAGCTCTGATTTCTCAGCAGAAACCACGCAGGCAAGAAGATAATGGGATGGTATATATAAAACCGTGAAAGAGAAAAATTTCCAACCAAGAATTATGTACCCAGCAAAATTGTCCCTGAAATATGATGGTGAAATTAGGACATTTCCAGATAAGCAGAAATTAAGGGAATTTGTTAAAACCTGACCAACCTCACAAGAGATGCTAAAGGGAGTCCTTTGGGCAAAGATGCAATAACAGCCAACAGCAACTGACCATTAACACGCATGATGATATAACCCAGAAACCAACCCAGCTATGGAAGTATCCAAAGTGAATAAGCCTACAAGATTGTAAACAGGAAACAGAGACATCAATTGACAAATGAGGACAACTATAATCCAAAAAGAGGGAAAAAACTGTGTCGTTACAGAACTTCTAGATGGTAGGGATGTCAAGACAACTGCAAGATAGAACAGACTGTTCTAAACTTGGGAAGAAAACTATAAATCACAGGGTAACCTCAAAGAAAAATGAGAAACTTACACATCAAAATAAAAAAGAGGACCAGCACAAATATTTAGCAAATACTGAAGCAATAGCAACAAAGGAAGTGTTAACACGATTCATAAACAAAACGAGCTCAGTATAGAAAATTTTATGAACAAAGACATCGACACCACGAAAAAGCATGTAACAAAAATGACAGCAACAAATTCATATTTGCCAATAATTACCTGTCTGGCAAGGGACTTAATCTCCAAGATTCATGGAAAACTCCGATGCCTCAATACCAAAGGAATCAACAATCTAATTGAAAAATGGGCAGAAGACATCAATAGACCCTTCACCAAAGAAGATATTCAGGTGGAGTGCTAATACATGAAGAGATGCTCACAATCATTGGCCATCAGAGAGATGCAAATCAGAACAACAGTGAGATACCGTCTCACCCCCGCACTGATGGCAAGGTTCAAAAGACAGAAAATAACAAATGCTGACGGGGATGTGCAGAGATTGGGACTCTCATACACTGCTGGTGGGACTGTGAAGTGATACAACCACTGTGGAAAGCAATATGCCAATTCCTTAGAAAGCTGGAATTGGAGATAGCATTTGACCCAGCAATTCCAATACTGGGTATATATCCTAGAGATATATGTATACTGCAAAAAAAAACAAACAACATTGACCCATGTCACTTTAATTTTGTATATTATACATAAATTATGTTTCAATAAAATGCATTAAAAAGAAAAACCTCTTTGAAGAAAACTTCAAAACTGCTAAGTGGTTGATATGATTGCTCTCATTTCTATTATGTCTAAATGATTTCAAAATTGTTTAGATTGGGGAAGTTTTTTCCATTTTTCTAGAAAACATAAATTGACCTTATTCACAATTCTGTGTATTTTCTCGTCTCCTTTACCAACATCTTACATGAATGCAGTTATACAGCATGCATTTTAAACCTTATACCACATACATTGTGTCCTTGATATATTCATTTGCAGCAAAATTAACTATTAGTAAAAAGTGGGTTTTTTCCTCTTTACTCTGTGCTTATGCTATTTCAAGCCACTTTTAAGAATTTTACTTGCTTTTTTTTTTTTTAAATAAACTTTTGACACAATGATTATTCTGTTTGTGTGGTTTATCACTCTTTCAGCTTCAGCAGATCCTTCAGACTTTTCAACAACCTTCAAAACCACAGTCTCCTGCCATTGACAACGCTGTGATGGCTCAGGTTCAAGCTATCACAGCTCAGTTAAAGACAGCTCCTACACAGCCGCCTGAACAAAAAGCTGCTTTTCCCCAACCCGAACAGAAAACTGCATTTGACAAGGTATGCTTATCTCATGTAACTCACCCCGCTGTGGATACCGCACAGTTTGGAGTGTGGTGGTCACTCCTTGTATAGTTTGTCTGTGAATTACTCATTTTTTTGTTTTGTGGTTTGAGGGATTTCCCCTCCTCTAAATTGAAACACTGGTTATTGTTTCTGGTTACTGTATATTTAGTATCAGAATTTTGGCTAATTAAGTGTCTTCCAATTACTCTGTTGAGCCTTTAAGGTTCCTTGGGCATGTTTAAGAGGCTGTTGGTAAGAATACAAGTGTTGATCATCTACAGCTTAGAGCTGCCTGTTGAAATTTAATCCAAACAGCTCCACTTGTGTCTGTTTCATGTGTTGTCTATTTAAACAGTATTGGGTTTATAGCTATATAAAATTTCATTTCAGTTTACGCCTTTCAGTGCAAAAAAAATGAAAAGACCTAAATAAGAATATATCATAGTTACCCTTTTAAGTCAGTACATACAGAGATGCTTCATTATTGTATATTATGCATAATATTTCCTAGTATCAGAATATTTGAATCATCCTCTCTTGGTAAACACTGAGTTTATTTTGCATTTCACATGACTCAGTGAATCTTAAAGTTTTTATGATCTTTGTACATGTATGTAGATTTTCTGTAGGGTACATTATTTGAAGTAGATGTGCTAAGTTAAAAAATAATGCACTCATTTCTGTATGTATATTTACTTCAAAAAACTCCCTCTCCTTTCCAGAGATAATACATTTAGCCTTTGAAAAGAGAATATTCTGTCAAATTGTCCTGTATACAAAAGTGTTATACCAATTTTTTTTTAATCTCACCAGCAGTATTTAATACTATGACAATGTGCATGTAGGCAGTATTTTGGTTTTTGTTTTATTCTTTCAGTTTTTGACATTCTTAAAGGTTCAAAATGTTGTCTAATAGAGAAGTTGCTTCCTTGCTGTAATTGCTGTATTTTCAGTGCATTGTGTGTCTTTCTCTTTGCCCAATTTTCTACAATTCAATAATGTGTAGAGATACTTTTCATATTAGAAATTATAGGCTACACATATTTCTCATAAACTCTAATTTGTTCTAACATTTCTAGAGTCTGTAGTCAAATTAATTTTCTGGTTTTTTTTAATTGTGTTTTGGGAAAAATAACTTAAAAGAATTTTATACTTTTTTCTAGTAGTTTAATGTTTTTTATTTTCATTTTTACTTCAGTCCATCTGGATTCTATTTTAGAATATGGTGCAAGATAATAGTTAAATCTTCATATTTTTAGAAATAACGTTTTTGTCAGAACCCTGGTGGCACAGTGGTTAAAACACTCAACTACTAACTGAAAGGTTGACAGTTTGTACCTACCAATGGTTCTGTGGGAGAAGGATGGGGCAGTCTGCTTCCATAAAGATTCACAGCCTTGGAAGTCCTATGGGACAATTCTGCTCGGGCCTATAGGGTCACTATGAGTCAGAATCAACTCAGTTTGGTTTTTTGGGGGGTAGGAGTGGGGACGGCAAATATTTTTGTCGTACACTAAATTCCTATGTTTTTATGTCTCTGGATTCTTTTTGTTCCACTAATATATTTATTTCTACATCATAACAAATTGCCTATAGCTTATAATACTACATTTTATTATGAGGTATCCTCCTTTATTCTTTTTTAAACTTTCTTTGACTGTTCATGGGCTTATTTTTTCAGATGAACTCAGCATAAATTTTATGATTCCTTGGAAAGGAATTGCTCCTTGTACAGAATCTCCATTTATTCAAATCTCCTTTTCTTACATAAATCATGTATATTTTTTGCTAAAATTATTCTTAGATATTTAATCATGTTTAATGTTTTGCAATATTTTTTCTTTGGTTAATGATTCAATAAACCAAAACACCAAACTCACTGCCATCAAGTTGGATCCGACTCACAGTGACCTCTCCTTGGGTTTCTGAGGCAGTATCACTACAGAAGTAGATTGCCCAACCTTCCTTCCAAAATGATGCAATAGAGGGAGACTATTGATTTTTTATTTTATATTGTAAATGGTCAAAGCATTTTAAACTTTGAAGGTTTCTAGTTGGCTCATTTAGATTTTCTAGGTACCTTCTAAATTTGACTTTCCTCTTCAACATTGATACCTGTTTCTTTCCTTGTTGCATTGGTAATTAGGACTGTCAGAAAAAATGTTGAATAATAGTGATTGTGGGCATCCTTATCTTGTTCTTAATTTGAATTTTAATTCCGTTAGTGCTTTATCTTAAGGAGCTGTGATGTCATAGTGGATTAGGCATCTGGCTGCTAATCAGAAGGTCAGCAGTTCAAACCTACCAGCTGAAGGGAAGGAATATGGGGCAATCTAAAGTTTTTTTCAAAGCAGTAGTTTTAAATCTTAAAACTTTTAAAGAACATACCTATTTGTGATAAACTGCAAAGATGATAATTTTTCGTTTTTGTTTTATAGACAGTTAGACCGACCTGAGTTTTAATGTTGGCTCCCATCACTTATTGGCTTTGTCTTGATGTTGAGTCACTTAAAAGTTCAGTTTGCATCACCATAAAATAATGATGATATTACCTATATTTCATCATTGTCATGAGTGTTAAATAAGCTGATTTGTTGTAAAATGGAAGGTGCCTGGGCCATAGTGGATGTTTAGAAAACATTAGTTCTTAGTTAAAATAAGAACTTTTAATAACTGACCTAGAATTAAAAAGAAATACAAGTTAGCACTATCTCAAAACACTCTGTACCCTTGATGATTCAGTTTTATATATGGTGTTGTCCAAAGAGAGGACTTTCTTTCCTAATGTAGAAATTGATATTTCAGTAAAATAGTTCCAGAATTCCTAGGCAGAACCATCACAAAACACCACAAGTTTAGGAATTTTAGTTTAAAATTCATGAGCAGAATGGGCCCAGCTTAAGAGTAAAGGCTGCTCGTTGGAGGAAAAAGACTCAGGGCTCTGAAGTCCAGTAGACCAGTTGTCTACATCTTGATTCTCCATTTGTAGACTGTACAATCTTGGTTATAGTTCATAATCACCTGAGCCTTAGTTTTCTTGTCTATAAAAAGAAGGAACTGTGTCTACATTGCTGTTGTTAAAGTATTTTATGTAATCTACTTAACATAATAGTAGATGTTTGAGATGTTACCTTTTGCCAAAAGGACAAGAAGGCCATATATTCTGACCTCCTAGAACCCCACAAGAGGAAGGCAGAATCACCATCAATAGCCCAAGGCCTATTACTGCAAGGCCAGACATGCTGCCTCCCTCCAGCCCTTTCACCAACCGTTCCTGCCAAAGCACCCACCACCTCTCTCCTGGGTTTGGTAATTCGCTGCAGTGGCCACACAGAGCTCACAGATTATGGGGTTTATTAGGGAAGCACCACAGGCTACAATTCAAGTTCAGGAAAAATGCTCAGTCTCTTTCCCAGCAGTGCTGGTCCCTCGGTCTCTCACTCAGCAATGCGTGTCTCTTGCGTCTCTTTCCCAGGAACGTGTGTCTCAGGAGCCCGTGTCTCTTTTCAGCAGCACATCTTCCTCAACCAGCAGTCAGAGAGAGTTCTGCCTCTAGGAGGCCCTCCTTTTGAGCTTGGCAGAGTGGCCACACCAACCAATCATAACAACAGAATTCTAAGCACCTGAGAGTGAGCCTTCCATAACATTGCATTGTGCCACGCCCAACAGAAATAACCCAGGTGGATAACATTTACAATCAGGAGCTCCTCAGTTGCTCATTCCACCACTGAGTTTACAATGACTTAGGGGTAGAAAAGCCATATTAAGTAATTTACTACACTGCACCTTTCTTTGTGAGTACATGTGACCTTATTTTTAAATGGCTGTTCTTTGGACATGTTATCTTGTCAGGTGTGTAGCTGTTTGTTTTTAATGTAAGTTTCTGGTAGAAACTTTGAAGTTTTAAGAAAAACTCTGATTGTAAGACTTAATTGTGCTCCTCGCCTATGCCATTCTCTTGTTCACTTGAGACATTTATTTTTCACATTAGTGAGCAAGCGTTATATGACGTCTTTTTATGGACATTTATTCCCAAAAAAGCCCTCCAAACCCACTGCCATTGAGTCGATTCTGACTCATAGCAACCTCCCTTGTATTTCCAAGACTGTAAATCTTTACAGAAGCATATTGCCTTATCTTTCTTCCATGGAGTGGCTGCTGGGTTTGAGCCACTGACTTTTTGATTAGCAGCTCAGTGCCTTAACCACTGTGTCACCAGAGATCCTTAGATGTTTATAGTGACCAGATAATGCAGTCCTTTTGTACTATTTACAGCTGACTCGAATTGTATACCCATTTTGATGTGTGTTGTTGTTGTTGTTATGTGCCCTTGAGTCAGATCTGACTCATAGCGACCCCTCCTTGGATTTCCAAGGCAGTATCACTATGGAAGTAGATTGCCCAATCTTCCTTCCGAGGAGTGGCTGGTGGGTTTGAACCACCAGCCTTCTGGTTAGCAGTCAAGCTCCTTTTGATGTGTGTAAAGTTCTAACCTTTTTAAGTCTAGGAAAAAAAAAATTTAGTAAAATGTTATATTGCTAAATTATGAAATAAGAATATAGAAAATAGTTTTTAAAAAGAAAACTTACCATTGGAGAGCAACCAAACCAAAAAAAACCTATAGTTACTGCCATCAAGTCAATTCTAACTCTTAGCAACCCCCTTTGGGCTTCCAAGGAGGTAAATCTTTACAGAAGTAGAATGCCCAGTCTTCCTTCTATGAAGTGGCTGGTGGGTTTGAACTGCCAGCCTTCTGCTTAGTGGTCAGATGCCTTAGGCACCATGCCACCAGAGTTCCTTAATTGGAGAGGAAACAGAATAAAATGGTATTTATGTCAAGATTGTTGATGGCCATGACTCAAGGTCCTAAGGGCATGTGGAAAAATGAGATTTTCTGTGGCAGCATGGTGAAATTATGTATGATGGTGTACAGCTATGACTTCTATAAAGTTTTTTACGCAGTGACTTACAATCTAAATTTTAAAATGGAATATTGCTATACCTATTCCAGAAGCTGCTTGATAGGTTTGATTATGATGATGAGCCAGAAGCTGTGGAAGAATCAAAGAAAGAAGATGCTGCTGCTGCCGCCACTACTACCACAGCCACTGCCGCCACCACCACCACCACCACCACCACAGCCCTTCCTGCTGCTGCCCCCCCTGTCCCTGCTGTTGCTGTCCCAGCTGCCGCCACCCCCACTGCTTCTCCTCCTCCACAGGCACCTTAGTACGTTTCTTCTTGTTAACTCCTCTGGATATAAAGTTGATCCTTGTTGGAAAATCATAATGTATATAACATTTAGCAACAAAATCTGTCTTTATAAGACATTGTTTTATAAAATTGAGGTGATAGTTTGGATTTCCTCCAAGGGAATTGATCAGATTCATAACAACTACAGTAAAAATGCCTTTTATGTTAGGAATAATGCTGAGCGTACAAATTAATATTTGGACAGATAACACGATTTAGTGGAATATTGACTGTAAATGTGTACTGAATGACACTCTTTATGTTTCTGTGGTTAGAATGTGGCTAAGACTCTTAATTACTTTTGAATGGGTAAGAAGATTGCTTATGTTTTTTTAGTGGGTTTCCTGGTGATAGCATGCAGCAGCCAGCATATGCGCAGCATCAAAATTTGGATCCATTTCAACCTCGAATGATGGGATTACAACAGGATCCAATGCACCATCAGGTACAGATATTTTTTCTGTAGCCAAGTTTTATTCTCTCGGGATCTGTTTGTTAGAGCATAATGTAGTGTGCACTTCACAGACCACTATTGTTTAGTTGTGTTTTTAGCCAAGTAGTACTACAACCCTGATAAAATCTGTTGAGCACTGCCAAAGGGACAGGGAGGCCTCATCTTCTGACCTCCTCTAACCCCACAAGAGGAAGACAGAATCACCATCAGTAGCCCAAGGACTATCCCTGCGAGGCCCGATATGCTGTCTCTCTCCAGCCCTTTCACCAATTCTGACACCAACCGTTCCTCCCACAGCACCCACCACCTCTCTGCTGGGTTTGATAATTCGCTGCAGTGGCCACACAGAACTCACTATTAGGGAAGAAACAGGCTACAACGCAAGTTCAGGAACAAGCTCAGTCTCTCTCAGCCGATAGTCTCTCTCAGCAGTGCATGTCTCTTGCATCTCTCAGCAGCATGCCTTTCTCAGATAGCAGTCAGAGAGACTCCTTCTGCCTTTAGAAATGCTCCTTTTGAGCCTGGCAGAGTGACCACTAACCAATCCCAAGATCAGAATTCTGTATACCTGAGAGCGAGTGAAATCCACAGAAGATTGCTTCTTGCTGGTGCAACAGAAATACCCCAGGTGGATAACTTTAGCAATCATGAGCTACTCAGTTGCTCATGGTAAATTCCACCATGGAGTTTACAAAGACTTATGGCTAGAAAAGCTACACTGTGTAATTCACTACACCACAAACACACATTGTTTTCAGTTGCTTTTTGCTTTAATTATAATAACTATGTTAAATGTCATTACATGTTCATATTTTAATAATAAGTATTTTAGTTAAAGAGTTTTGAATGTTTGTATTTCGGTTTGGGAAACTGGCTAGTCATTCAGCTCTTTCCCTTGCTGGGTCACCCCTTCCCCATCCTCACCCCCAGTGAATGTTGTGTGATCAGATGCTTTAAGAGGGCATTCTAAGACAGTAGATTGCTATGTGTGGTCTTTATAGGATTAGGTCATCAGTCTTTGAGCTGCATTGGCTTTCTCAGTTATGTCAGTTATCCCACAGAAAAGTACTAGCAGAGATGAACTGGTTTCGCCATTTTAGAACTGTATTCAGTTTTGTGACACTAAGGCCTCTTGTTCTCTCCTAAATTAAAGGATCACTAGGGTCCTTTCCTTTTTACAGCAGCTATTGTGAAAAGCTGTTCACTTCATGAGTTCCCTCTTGAATGGACAAAACTTTATCCCTTAAACATATGCTTCCATCAAATTCTTTATTTTTCATCTCTTACCACCCAAGAATGTAGTTTGAAATCTGGAGTAAGAGCATAGCTCACTGGAAAATTACAAGAAGTTAGTAGAGATTTTGTTCATTGGGTTTCTTTTAATAATCTTCAAATTTAGCCTTTCCTAAACTTTTCTATATATTGGAATTACAGGGGCAAAGAGGGACATTTTTTAAAATACAGCTCCTAGACCCCACTCCAGAACTACAATCAGTCTCTAGAGATTCTGTATTTAAAAAAAAAAATTGTATAGTGATTCACTTGTCCTTAGTTTAGAAATGGTTCTGTGAAATTTCTTAAGAGTATATTCATTTTCTTACTCAGATCGTGCTCAGTCCATTCTATATATTTGCTAATATGAAACTGATAGGATTTTAATGACTTACTGATGAAGTTTGAAAAATATTTTATAAGCCTGTTTAAAATAGGAAGAAAACATATGAACTTATTTCTAGATGTTTAACAGTTACTGAAAGTTTAGAGTTCTTTAAATTGTCTTGGTATTTGAATTGGACATGTATAAATATGTTAGGTTATGGTTTACTCTCACTATTGTTATGATGATACTTTAAACTCTAAAAGTGGATATATAAACTGGCATATGAGCTGAATAGTGCATTAAGTAGATACACTCCTTGGAGAGATCAATCATGGGAGAATAGAAGGGCTGTGTATGCACAGACAGACAACTTGGGAGGCAGGAGTTCATGGGAGGGAAGGACCAGAGAAGACGTAACTGTGGAGAAGTAGGAGGAGAGCTGTTGCATTCTGGGAAATTGCAGTAAATGTTATGAGACAAAGTATATGTTAGCCACTGTATGGAAAGTGAATTTGCTCTGTAAGCTTGCACCCAAATCACAATAAAAATGAAAGAAAAAAAATTGTGAGTTGAAATTCCTCTTGGAGTAAATAAAAGCAACATGAACCAGGAATTTACTGCTTCTGGACACTCCTTCCAGCAGAAGGCTTAATTTGTCTTTAAAGTTCAGTCTGTCACATTTCTTCCTCATATAAGTGAAGCTGTATCTTTAAATATATAAACCATACTGTATTTATAATTTTGAAGTGGGTTGTAAGATTTTTAACCTATATATTTGGATATATAATAATTTGGATGAAGAGTGTACCAATGAAAATTGTTTGAGTGTACTGATGAAAATTGTTTAACGGGGTTTCATGTCATTATAGTTAATTAAAACAAAATATACTATGCATAATTGTTCTTTGATCAAAGTTTATTGACGATACTTTAGTTTTACATCAAGTGTTTAAGGGTTTTCTACATTCTTTTTGGTAGCTATCATTTAAAAGCTACTCATGCACTTTGTTTGAAAACAAAAGGTTCCACTTCCTCCAAATGGACAAATGCCAGGATTTGGACTTCTTCCTACACCTCCGTTTCCTCCAATGGCTCAGCCTGTGATTCCTCCAGCTCCACCGGTGCAGCAACCTTTCCAAGCTTCTTTTCAGGCACAAAATGAACCACTTACACAGAAAGCACATCAGCAGGTAAAACTTCATTTCTTGGTTGTCTTGACTTGTATACAAGGGAGCTCTGGTGACAATGTAGTATGGCATTTGGCTGCTAACTAAAAAAGTTGGCTGTTTGAACCTACCAGCTGCTCCACGGGAGAAAGATGAGGCAGTCTGGTTCTATAAAGATTTACAACCTTAGAAACTATATAGAGGTTTCTGTGAGTCAGAATTGAATCAATGGCAGTGGGTTTGGTTTTGGGTCTTTATACACCTGGCCATTTGCTTACTATATTCATTTTCTAATTTGAAGAAAGAGTTATACCTTGAGGACATACTGCTAAACTCTCTATTGCCCAAGTGTTTAATCTCAAAAGTAGGCATCCCATTACTACCAACTTCCTTAGTTCATGAGAATATAGACAGAGTTCAGATCACTTAACCAGTACCTGATTCACCATGTTATATGATGGCTTATTAAAGTGATGTTTAACTTGTACAAAGTAGCTTCTAGACTAATCTTGTAAACCATATAAAAGCTTTTTAAGTGATGACCAGTTATTAATAAACTAGTAATTTGGTTCCAAGTAACCTAAAGAGAACTGTGTCAGGGCAAGAAATTTTTAATTTAGCATTTGTTAGATTCTGGACTTTTGCCTCTGTTTATAATTTTCACTTCTTTAATTTTATGATGGAATTTTTTTTTTTTTTTTTTTTTTAAGGAAATGGAAGTGGAACAACCTTGTATTCAAGAGGTTAAGCGGCATATATCTGATAATAGAAAGTCAAGATCTAGGTCAGCATCCAGGTAATTTGTAGGAAATATTTTTCCAATCATCTGTGTCTTAGGAAACATAGAGCTTAAAATCAAGTTTGGCTGGTTTCACATTTGACACTTGATATGTGCATATATGTATGTATAAGGAGCTCTGGTGGCATAGTGAATAAGGTACTTGGCTGCTAACCAGAAGGTCAGTGGTTTAAACCCACCAGCCTCTCTGCAGAAGAAAGATGGGGGTGATCTACTCTGTAAAGATTTATAGACTCAGAAACCAAATGGGGGTTCACTAAGAGTGCAATGAGTTTGATTTTATTGATAGGTAGGTAGATAGAGATACATATGAGGAGTGCGGGCATAAGTATTAAAAATGTCCTGTAGCAAGTCAAGGAAGTTAATCACATTCTTTTCCCTTTGATTTGCTGTAATGCTTATTTATAAGTATACAACATGGAATTACAAGAGTTACATATTTAACATTCCTTTATAATTTTGTTGTGAGCTCTGGTGGTGTAGTGCCTGAGCCATTTGACTGCTAACCAGAAGGCTGGCGGTTCAAACCCACCAGCCACTCCTCAGAAGGATGATTGGGCAATCTACTTCTGTGGTGATACAGCTTCAGAAAGTCAAGGAAGGTTCACTAAAAAAGTAGAAAGATCATAAATATATTATAAACTAATTGGATTACTTTTTAAATTATTTAACTGCTGCAAAAAGAAGACTACTGAGAAGATAGATAACAAGTAGTAGCAGATATTTCTCTGATGAAAATCTGATTCTTACATTGCAAGTAGTAATTTAGTGTAGTAGAGGTACTGTTGATAAGAGATACTTTGACAAACTGATATGCTTTCTTTGAACTTGTTAAAAAATCTTTAAAACGAGTTCCTTGCTATTGAGTCCTTACATATCCAAACATAAAATTATTTAGTTATGTTTTTCAAATTAATACAGGTAAGAAACATTTTCTATTTATTCTCTATGTATTATCTCTTCTCCCTTCCCATGAAAATATTAGGTCACCAAAAAGAAGACGATCTAGATCTGGTTCTAGATCTCGAAGATCTCGTCATCGACGTTCTCGATCTCGCTCCAGGGATAGACGCCGACATTCTCCTAGATCTCGATCCCAAGAGAGACGGGATCGAGAAAAAGAGAGGGAACGTCGACAGAAAGGCCTTCCTCAAATCAAACCAGAAACTGCAAGTGGTAATTAACCTCTCTCAGACTTTCTGCATTATTTTCTTCATGTCATCAGTTTAAAATGTTTTACAGCTGTTGACAGAGCCATGAGTGAAATGGGGCTGGATTGATTTTTATTCTGAGTACTGCTTTATCATGTCTTATTTGTGTGTGCATTGGTGTATATATCTTGGTCTTTGCTTTTGTACATTAAACCAGTTACTAAGAAGCAGCAGCAAGGAGTGAATCAAACTACCAGTGATCAGTGGTAGAGTCCAAATATCATTAACTAGCTCTTCTCTACATAATGGAAAAAAAAGTTTCCTTTGTTTGCCAGAATTGCTTGTATCCTCCTTTGTATAGATTTAAAATTTACAGAATATTTTAGCTTGCAGTATCTCTTGAATCTCTTAAGTGTGTTAGAATATTTTAATAAGATGTACTAGACATATTCTTGATATGGGTCAGTAACCATTATTTTTGACTCGTTAACTGTTAAGATATTAATTCATAATATGACTATGAAATATGTTAAACTTCTAATTCTGTAAGACTTACTACCTAGGACACAGCATGAAAGAAAAAACTGTAAGCACTCAGCAGTTGAAGGACAGTTACATATGATGAACAAAAGCACTGAATTGATTCAGAATCATAGTACTTAGGCTATTCACTAGCAGGGTGACGACCTTGGGCAAGTTGCTGCTTCTCTGGCCTCAATTTCCATAAATGGAATCTTTAAATCCACAAAATGGTCAGCTTTTCCTGACTTTTAAGTATGCCTTTCACTATCTTGGTTCTATTTCAGAAGTACAACCATAATTGTTCTAGAACTTTTTAAGTTGTAATTTTTTTTAAGTGTGTGAAACTGTTTAAAGTTGTATTATTTTGTGTGATATTTTTTTCATATAAGGTACAGTGCTGCTCATTCTCAAATGTGAATTTTTTGTCATTATTTTAAGTTTGTAGTACTACTCTCTGGGTGGGACAGCTGGACAAAAGGACAACTCAGCAGGATGTTGCTAGTCTATTGGAAGAATTTGGTCCAATTGAGTCAATTAATGTGAGTGTTTTATTAAATAATTTACTGATAATAGACATGTGATGAATGTTTATTTTAAGAAGTTAAGGACTTGATACCCAAGTTACAGTTTGCCTATTGAAGAAGATATTGCTAGAGTTTCAGTATTTAATCTCATTTCTTAGATAAACAAGTTTAATTTAAAACCTTTTTCTAAGAAAAAGGTTCATTAATAATTACCAATTGAGACTAAACTTGAAATGCCAATTTACTTTCTTATAATAAGTAAAATTAATTATAGCAAGCGAACCAGGAGTGTTGGGAAGTGGTTGTTGAAAAGTGGTTACTTAGTATTTTATATTGTTTTTAATTTTAAAACATTTTTGGAACAGATGATTCCTCCCAGGGGTTGTGCCTATATTGTTATGGTTCATAGGCAAGATGCTTATCGTGCCCTGCAGAAACTGAGCCGAGGAAACTATAAAGTGAACCAGAAATCCATAAAGGTACCGTTTTATACCTTATGATGCAGTTTTTGAAAATTTAATAAATGCATAGATACGTGACTTTTAAAAAGCTATAAGTTTGGGCTTAGAAAAGACTTTGATACTGAGGCATTTCATATATACCTTGCCAAATTGAATTTTTTAAAAAAGTGATTCTCTCCTAAAAGAACTATAGTGTTTTATTAACATAAAAATTTAAATGTTTAAATGCATGCTAGTAGTAGGTTGTCCCCACTCCTACTCCCAAATGTAGGTGGCTGGACCAAAAGTACATTCATTAATTGGTGCTTTAAATAAAATGTCATTTATTAAAATGCATTGTTATTCAAAAAATATTTAGTTTTCCATACTTGGTTCTTAAAGTTTACCATCTCATCTTAGAATGAACTGTGAATAATATTCACCAAAGACAGAGAAAAGGTTTTAAGTGCGTAGGTATTCTTCCTAGAAAGGACTTGAACTTTTTCAAATAAATTGTTAAATGAAGTTGGTGTTTCTTCAATGTTATTAAATGATGTTAGAATCCTGGTATTATCCTTGAATTACCCTCCCTAAAGGATTTAATCTGCTATTGAATAATTCCAAGTACCCATAGGCTTCCAAAAGTGGTCCCCAGGTTGTTTCAGGGGTGGGAGGATGCGATTAGAATGGGAGAGCATAGTTAACTTTCAAGATTTAATGACTTTTTTTTTCTCTCTCTTTTTATTTTATCTAATGGTGAAATAGATTGCCTGGGCCTTAAATAAAGGAATAAAGGCAGATTATAAACAGTATTGGGACGTAGAACTTGGTGTTACTTATATTCCATGGGACAAAGTCAAACCTGAGGAACTGGAGAGTTTTTGTGAAGGAGGAATGTTAGACAGTGATACGCTTAACCCAGGTAAAACAGTACTTAATTTCTCTTAACATTCATCCACTTACATGGTAATACATGTGATATGATCAAATGTCCTCTCTGTTGTCTTCATTAGAAAGTGAGCTTTGAGGTTTTTCAAATGCTCACTCTGTACTTGTGGAGGAGACAGTACCGGTCTCTCCATTCAAACTGAGGATGAAGTAGTGAATAAGACAAACATGGTCTTTGCCCTTAACACACCTTCACGTTTAGTGGGAGCGATGTAAACACAAATCAGATAATTACTGTTACTTAAAATATTGCATAGAATTTTCACTGTGAAAAACCTAAATCAAATGAGCCTTAATCTGAGCATCACTGGTATATTGTGTTCTACTCTAATGCTTAATAATAATTTCTTTGGACACATTTAATGTCCAGAGTAGCAATAGACAAGCTTATAAAATGAAGAGATGCAAGTATTTATGGGCATGAATGTTTAAAATGCTAGATTGATGGTGGGAACAATGGCAGTGTACAAGCATGGCTTAGAGACAGAGGGCAAGAACAAAGAGGAGCACAGGATGGCATGGCAAAATAGAATGAACCTTAAAGGAAGCAGGAGTGTAGTTTGAGAGTTGTACTGTTTCCGTTCTGCACTTCCTCCTTTGATAAGGTGCCTTCACTTAAGGGTAGAGGTAGATTTTTGTTACGCCAAACAAGTGTCAGGGATTTGTTATGTACCAGGCATTCTGAGAAGCTCCTCCAGGGCACAGTGGGATCTCCACCTTGCCTCTTCCAAATTCTCTTGGAGCTTCTGGTCCAGTGGAGGGTTTACTGAGAAGGTAAAGAGAAGAGACTCTCTGATGAAATAGGCCCCCAGAGGGCAGAATGGTTTGTTGTTTTTACTTGGTTGGAAGATACCTGGAAATAAGGTGAAGGTTATCTTAGTTATTCTTAATGTTATGGAACATTTGTTCAGGAGATAGTGGCTGCTTCATTATCTTTATTGCTGTTATTGTTTTAATACTTTTAAGCAGTGTACTGTTGTAATTACAGCATAGACTCTAGAGCCAGAAGTGTGTGGGTTGAGTTCCAGCCCTGCCACTTACTAGGTATGTGATATAGACCAGCTGATGATGCTTTCCTCATCTGTAAGCTTGGAATAATAGCAGCATTTATATAAATACATAAAGCATGTAAATATGGGTATGTGAATTAAATGAATTAGTACATGAAGTACTTAGAATAGTCCCTGGCTCATAGAAAACGTGCTTTTACACGTTTGGTGTTGTTACTCATTACTTTTTTTTTTTTATTACTAAATTTCTTTAATTCTCTTAGATTGGAAAGGAATTCCCAAGAAGTCTGAAAATGAAGTTGCTCAGAATGGAGGTGCAGAAACCTCACATACAGAACCAGTATCACCCATACCTAAAGCTTTGCCTGTTCCTGTCCCTCCTATTCCTGTTCCTACACCTATAACAGTACCACCTCCACAGGTGAGATTTCAGCAGTTTGTTAAACTTCTAAGTGTCTGAAAGATCCCTTGCTAAATCTTATAAAAATTTATTATAAATGTGTGTCTAGATTCATAGTCAAAGACAAGAGTATGTAAATATGTGTCATCTTATATGGTACACCATCAAGTCTACTGTTTATAAAATCTTCTAACACATTTTTCATTATGTATTAATAAAACCAGAGTAAATTCATTTGCCACACTTCTTTATATATTATTTGATGTATCTTACCTTATAATGTCCCAGGCATGAGATGAGAACCTGTTTCATATTATTTCTGTTGCTCTGAGGGAAACTGGATATGTATAAATAAGCAGTTGCTGTAAGGGAAAAGAGAGCTGCTTAATCCTCAGTTTGGCTTTTGTCATCAGAAAACCATATTTTTAACAAATGATTAAAATCTATTTAATAAATTGAATGCTATTTAACGTGAAGATACATTTTTATCTATAAATGTGGAAATTTTCTCTCCTAGCCCTATTCCTGGAGTTGCTTAACTCATTTAATGCCCATAATTATGTGAGGTCTTCATTTGTCCCATTCTACTGATAAGTGAACTGGGGTCTAGAGAGGTTAATTTGCTCAAGGTCACAGTTAGTTAAGGGAGGGGACCAGGCAGTCTAACTTTAGGACCTGTGATAGTAATCACTGTGTGATGTTGTTGTTATGTGCCATCGAGTCAGACCCGAATTTGATTTATATGAGTTGGTAAGTACAGATAAATACCACTTTAATTATCTAATACATTTCTGTAACCACATTTTAGAAAAGAAACTTTTTTTTACCAGTATGACATTTTCTTGATGTATACTCACTGTGTGAGCAGAAATGTGGTTTCATTTTCCTTTCTTTTAGGTCCCACCGCATCAGCCAGGTCCACCTGTGGTTGGTGCACTCCAGCCACCTACTTTCACGCCTCCTTTGGGAATCCCTCCTCCAGGCTTTGGCCCTGGTGTTCCTCCTCCTCCTCCACCACCACCATTTTTGCGCCCAGGATTCAACCCAATGCATTTACCACCGGGTATGTTTAATTTGAAAAGTCATTCTACTCAAGCCCAAAATGACGTGACACAGCATAAATGGACATTATTTTTCTTGTTTTAGGTTTTCTTCCTCCTGGACCCCCACCTCCTATAACTCCACCAGTATCCATTCCTCCTCCTCACACTCCACCAATAAGCATCCCAAACTGTAAGCATATTTTTCCTTTGTGTTCACCTGTCCTCTTGGGAGTAGGAGGGAGAGTGAACCAGTAATAGGGTCTGTAGTGTGGCAAAAGAATGTTTGCCGGGGAGATAATTAATTATTCAGCTTCACATGTTGATGTGATTATATTCCTTAGCTACTATCGCTGGTATAAATGAAGACACTACAAAAGACTTATCTATTGGAAATCCCATTCCAACAGTGGTGTCTGGGGCTAGAGGAAACGCCGAGTCTGCTGACAGTGTGAAAATGTATGGCTCTGCTGTGCCACCTGCTGCTCCCACGAATCTGCCTACCCCTCCTGTAACCCAGCCTGTTTCACTTCTTGGTAAGTTGATTTTTTTATCATTAGTGTTTTTTCCCCCATAGCCCTAAGGTTAGGTGTTTTAAAAACAATGCTCATTTTGCAAAAATATTCTCCAAGGCTACTATTTTTCCTAGAGTAGTATTTTCATCTTAAATATGTGCACTTTCTCTTTATCAGGAGTAGCCAGAGAGACAGTGTGAAAGATGAAATCATGTTTGTTTGTTTTTCTGTCTTGAATAAAAGTCTGGATTTGCACGTTTTAATTTGGTATAGAAAGTTGATTGAAGTAATCTCTGAAAAGGAGTTGATAAAATCATGGTTGACAGAACTTCAGACTCTTTCCCCAGCTTTATAGGATATAGAATTTCTTTGTCAACATGGATTTCTTCCTGTCAGGACCAATTTTTATTTACCTAGAGCCCCTAGAGTCTGGTAGCATTCTTTGTGGACTGGCAAGGAACTCATCTTTGGTACATTGCAGTAAACTAGCTTTGTAATCTTAGTGGCAGTTGCACAGCCTGAGGTAATGCTTTCCCACTGATCCCTCAGTTTTCTCCTGCTAAGGCTTATCTGTTACACTTTTTACACAGCTTTAAGGATTCTCCTGACTTTATTACTAAGCTCAAGGGAGGTATAATTTAGATTGTTTACATCTTAAAGGGTGTTGACCCTTTACCTTTGCGTGCTTGAATTATAAATAAATTACTACATACTTGTCATAGTAGACCATTTTTTCAATAAATAAATTCTTAATTTGAAGTGGCATTGCCAAATATAATACGTGATTCTCTTAAATATGGGGAGTTAATATTTCCTTAGCATTATAACATGATAGTTATATGAGATCATTGGTATTTGTAAGCTTTTATAATCTTAGTAAAGAGGCGCATTGGTTACTTCTGGGATGTAGGACTGTGGAATATTGATTTTTGATGGAGGACTTTGACTTTTCACTTTATACCTTGTATTCCTATTGGAAATTTCAATTTTCTGCATGTATATTATATTTTTAATAAAAATCTATTTATTTTTAAATGGCATGCTGTCTTCTGCCCCCTCCCGGACTAAACTTAGGCTGATGATAAACTTAATTTTTATTTTTCTTAGTACACAGACTGGGCAATGGCAAAACAGCATTTGGGGGTTAAATTTTGTCACCAATATTGTAGCATAATGATGGAAATTATTTCTTTAATGAGAAAGTTGCTTAAGAGGTCTGCATCCTAATGGGAATCATATATTAGAAAGAACATTGGATTAGGAGCCTGGAGACCAAACATCTTTGGATTTGTTTTATGTTACTTTTTTCTTCTTAATTATAATAAGATAATTGCATAAGTATCACAGAATCTGAGTAGGCTAGAATTTTCTGATCAACCTCTCAGCCCTATACCCCTGCTTATGAATTCCCTTTGAAATAAAATTTCCTAGTCTAGAATTCATGAATATTAGACCCCTCGAGACTGTTTACAAAATTGCATTTGTTTGTGCACTTTTCTGGACTAGAGGAGGGCTAGCCATTTAATAGCTGCTTAGTAAAGTTGTTGAATGAATGAAAAGCTTTAATAATCTCTAGGAATTTAAGGACCACTGGTTTCAAACCATCCTAAAGAATAAGCCTACCTCTGATTCAACATTTAGGCCTTGAAGACTCTGCCCCCTTTATTTGTAATCGGTATTGAAACTCACATTTTAAACTCTGCATCTAACACCTGAAATAAAATAAAAAATAAAAAATTAGTAAGCCTAAAAAATAAACTTAGTAAACTAAGCAATGCTAAAAGAAGAATTAAACTCAGAATCTTGTTAGCATTTGTTGTCACCCTTCATATATCTGCTTGTGTGACTACCTTCCTCCAACAAGAATGGAAGCTACTACATGAGGGAGAAAAGGACATTTATACATGAGTGAGTCAGTGGGCAGATGGTTGTCAATGCTGGGTTGTTTCTGTTTTACCTCTGATTATCTTGTTAGCAAATTTTTATAATACAAAGTCTCAAATCCAGAAAGGTTTAAACTTTTATGTAACTTAAAAGTGGAATCTGTTTTAACTAAAATGAACATTTTTGACTAAAAAAAATGCACCAATTTAGTGTCAGTCATTAGTTTTAAACCTTGAAAAGAATATTACATGATTATTGACCTTTCAGAGAAAAAAGAGATTTTTTTTCAGTGTTTATGGAAATAGATACATAAAGGAGAATTCATCCTAAAGACCCTAGTAACAGTTCTACCATTTTCATAAAAGAATTGTAGTAATCAAATCACAATATTGCAATACTAAAGAATCAATAATTAGACTAGGGTATTGTTGACATTAACCAAGTAACAGAACACGAGAAATAAGATGTTTTTCACATTTCCTTTTGGTGCTCTAATGTTTTTGCTTACGATAATAAGAGGAAGTGCTATGCTATACCAGAAAATTTTTTTTTAGCCTAGAAAGGATTACTAAGCTTCATTTTCCTCATCTGTTAAGGGGGGAAAAAAAAAGAAGAAGAAAAATAACAACCTAGGGTGTTGTGATGAATCAAGGGGTTAACATAAAAATAAATAAAACATCTGATACAGTTCCTGACACAGAGTAAGCACCCAGTGAATGATGGATGCTTTTTACAGGTAAGAAATACCACAGATTATATTTAGAACACCAAGGGAACAATATTCTATATATTATTTCAGCTTTGATTGATTTTTAACTGTTCTGTATGTTGGCAGACAGAGGCAAATTTTTTAGACAAACTGTATCTTGATATAGTTGCCTTAGATATTTTCAAAGTAGACTAGATAAGTTCACACTTTTAAAGTTCCAATCAGTTGAGTTACAGAGGAAACCTGGTGATAATCATAGTGGTATTGTATTTAATGAGATAGCCTAATATCTATATTCTTTCCATTAATAATATTCATACAGTTTTCTTACAATTAAAGGTAAATATATCATTGAGGCTTCATTGAATTCCTGGATCTTAATTTCTGAAATGTGGCAATAATATTTTTAAAGTAACAGTGACCAAACAGTCATTTAACAGATATTCAAAAATTCTGAAGTGAGGCCTAATTATACTGGAAGGATGCAGTACCTTAAGGATGGTTTGGTTTTAAGAATTTTCCATATGATCAGACTTATATATGGTTGTTATTTTGTGGGTAGTGACTACCCTTTTCTGAAGTTGGGCTGGGTAGCCCATACTACTGAATTTGGAGAGAACTAAGCCTCCATCTTTTCGAGGTTCTGATTCTTTTAATTAATATTGATATCTGAAAATGATCAAATTATTTGCTGCACAATAATAATTCATTATCACCTGATTTAAAAATCTGTAACCCTTTGCTCAAGTTCTTAGTACAACATACTCAGCTAATAGAACAGTTGTGGCTTCGTAAAAGTTAAGGACAACATTCTACAGTTGTTGCTCAATAAGGAGAGAAGGAATATGAAAGATAATAGCAATTCATTTCATTCTCTTTACTGTATAAGTGTCTGTGATTTATTTTTTAAAAACTTTTGTATAATGTGTTACTCTAATATGATGTATAGTCTCTTTTTTTATTAAAAAATTCATTGTAAATGTGAAATTTGGGTTACTTTGGTGTTCCAAACAATAAAAAATAATACACAAAAAAAACATGTTTGTTTGTGTTACATATCTCTACTCTGTTACCAGTATATCCAAACTATCTTTTCAAGGAAAAACTCTTCTAAGTTGGACTCATTCTTTTTGTGGAGAATTAAAACCTTTTCCACTGCCAAATACATTCATTCTTTAATTAATGATATGCAAAGAGTTCTCTCAGTTTTTGTCACATTACTGTAAATGAAGGTGAATTTTATAAATAAGAATAGGTTGTTTGTAAGGTTCCTTACTACTTAGTGGTATTAGTTTGTTACCAGAGGGTTTAAAGAAAGTCACAAATTGGTGGTGTATATGTTGAATTGCTAGATAGTGTGGTATGATGTCCTTCGGGCCTAATTTGCACACATCTTTCCTGCATGGCCTCAATAGGCATTTGAGTTGATGATCCCAGACTTGGACATCTCATGAAATTATGTGGACAAAATTGGTTTGTAAACTATTATACTTACACAGATGTGTTTGCTTTTATGCAAGAGTCATTCCTAAAACACCTAGAAAATGAATACATTTATCATTCTGTTTAAAAAGAAAAAAACACTGTCATCAGGTCGATTCTGACTCATAACAACACTATAACAGTAGAACTGCCCTCCATAAAGTTTCCAATGCTGTACAGTCTTTAGGGAAGCAGACTGCCACATCTTTTTCCTGCAGAGCTGCTGGTAGGTTCAAACCACCAATCTTTTGATTGGCAGCCAAGCACTTTAACCCTGTGCCACCTCAGTTTCAAGAATTAGTGTAAAATTGGTACTTGTTTTGTGGTGGTTTCACTTAGCTTTGGATTTTTCTATCCACTATCTGTCTAGAATTTTATAATTTTTTTTTATCATTAGCAATATTTAAATATTTAAATTAAAACATTAGAGCACCAATCTGCTAGTATAAGTAACATTCAAAGGAAACCTGAAGAAGATTTTAGAAAGTAGACTTTTTTAAGTGATGCTAACAGTAATGCTAATGTTTTTTAAAACAAATTTTTTGTTTGTTTCTTCTTACTGTGAACTTCACGGTGTTTGAGTACATTAAATCATAAGCTAGAGGGGTTTACTAGGTGTTTAAGTTGATACAAAGCAAAGCCTGTTGACTTTATCCTATGAAAGCATTCTTTGGAAACTTTAAAATATTTGCATTAGTGTTCTAAATATTGCATTGTGTTCTTCTGTTTAGGATATGTAGTTATATGAAATGGTTCCCCAAAACACACCACAGTGCCTTCACCTTAGTATAATGTAAGTGGATACAGGGAGTAATTCCAAATAACACCCTGCAACAGATATTTGCATATGAGTTTATGCATAAATACACTATACTTTCTCAGAAGGTAAAGTACTTCAGACAAACATGCAGAAGGTGTTGCACAAAAGAAACTTGAAAGCTGCTTA